TTTCTCCCCTCCGCGAGTTAAGGAACTTTAATAATTAAATGTGAAAATTTTAAAATAAGTAATTTAGAAATTTGTGATCAAACTAATAAAATTTAAAGAAAAATAAGCATAAATTATATTAACTAATTTATTCTCATTATGCATTACTTCTCTATTTCATTAAGTTTTTTGTATATACATGTTTAAAAATATTATTTTAGGCAACTTGTGTATTTATTTTTAAAAAATAATTGAATAAATAAGTTTTCAAACTGAAAATTTTAAAATATGATTAAAATTTTTAAAAAAATATGTGCATTAAACTTTTTTTAGATATATTGAATGATTGCTAGATAACATCTATATTTAAATAGACTATTTTAATTTAATATATGACTAAATAGTCAATTAACAATTGGGCGAATGAAAATAAAAATTTTAAAATAAAAATGAGGTTTTTGTTTTAAAACTATTCATGCCAGAAAAGTTCATGTATGTTTAAAAAATAAAATGATGTATATTTAATTAAAGTAAATTAGAAGAGAAGTCAATGTATTCTACTTTTTTAATCATTATAATATATACATGGATGAAAAATAAAATAAAATTGAAAATATTTTTTAATCATCATATATTGAAATTTTAAATTATCTAGCTCAAAATTCAAAATTTAAACTTAAATATTTTTTTATTAAGAACTTAAAGTCTTTTTTATTATTAATATATTATATTGGCAATGCAAAATAGTTAAAATATTGACCAATATTATTAACTTATCCTACTCAAATTATAGCATTGCCAATATTTTAAACACCCCTCAAAGTAATAATTAATTTAAGAGAATTGTTTCACCAAAGATATATTTTAGAGATAATTTTTCTTACATTCAATTAGTCAATATGTTTTGCACTTTTAACTTATTTTGATAACATATTTTGAATTTCAAATCTCAATATTTACTAATTAAATAAAATGATTAGTTAAGTAAAAATATTATTAAATTAATTAATACTCTTTTAATGAGCAAATATAAATAACATTATTTAATTGAAAAATATGAGTATTTTTAGATTTCAAACTTTACACAACCCAAAACAATCGATGTCTTATCCTTATGAAATATTAAATTTTATGAAAGTTCATCAAATTTCAATTACTAGTACAAATATAAAATTTATAAGATACTTTTTACATCGGTTGGAAGGCAAATGGTGTAAAAAGTTAAGGCGGTATTATTTTTATAATTATTTTGAAGTGTTTGATAGTTTTTACATCGGGTGGCCCTTCACCCCAATGTAGAAAATACACTTTCCACATCAGGTGGCAAAATGTATATTCTACATTGAGTAAGGCTACTTGATGTAGAATATATATTTTCTACACCGAGGAAGGATCCACCTGATGTAGAATATGTATTTTCTACAATGGGTTGCCCTTCACTTGGTGTAAAAATTTTTTT